TTCACACCCACACCCACGCTCTCAGCCTGCCAAATCAAGATACTCATTTTAAAAATCAATTTATGGATTCCATGGCAAAATTAATTGGTTATAATCATACCTTTTCGAGTGTCTACCATTCACAAAGTAATGGAATGATTGAACGTTTTAATGCAACATTTGTTCCTCAAATAGCCAAACTTCAAGATCGTGAAAACAACAACTGGGGCGAATTTTTGTTACTAGTAGTATTTGCTTATAATACTAGCATTCATGCAACGACTAATTATTCACCATTTCAACTGCAATTTGGTCGTGAATCATGTCTACCCACTGATGAATTATCAACATCAATCATTTTCAATAAACCAAATGATTATTATAAACAACTGAAAAAACGTTTGCTGATAATACAACGACAAGCACGTGCTAATGTTATTAGTCGACAACAACAATATAAAAATAATTATGATAAGCGACGTTCGGATCCACATTATGAAATTAATGATTCAGTATTGATTAAAATTTATGAAACGAAAACGAAATTAGAACCCAAATATTCGATTACACCAAAAATAATTGTTAGAAAATAACATCCCACTTATTGGGTCAAAGACGAAGAAACATGGATTAAATCAAGGGTGCATGTTAATGGTATTCGACCCATATTTATCCTCAAAACAATGTGAAATACTACTATTTATTTTTTGTTGATGATTACTACAAATATGACAACAAAGTTACACATCAAGAAACTTCCTTTCTATGAGCGTTTCTGCCTTGTGCAAATTATGTTATTTTTCTTTTTAACTGAAATATCTTATCAATATTTACATCCATATACTGGTGACATCTATCTATATATACTTTATGGATAGGCTCATTCTTCTGAACTAATGATAACTAATATGATTCATTTTTTTATATTACATTTTTTTTAATTCACAGTTATTCTAATTCAATTTTGTCTAATTCTTCTTTTATTTAGTCATTATTATGTCAGATAAACGTATTCCATTCCATTTACGTGATATTAATAATCCACTATCGTATCTTAATGAACAACAACAAACATGGATACATACAGCAAAGAAGGCGAAGAAATACCATCAATTATGACAACAGTATTCACCATTCATCGTACCAACATCAATTTATAAAGTGATATTTGTACATAAATACAATACGATTGAGACAATGCTAATGATGATCGATCATGCAAAAAATTGCTACGAATATACATTTGATACTGTAAACGAAAAGTCAAATAAACGATTGGCATTGATATAAGTTCAAACAATACCTCAACAATTACCATCATTCTTGATTTTAGTGGAACTTGCACATTTACCACCAATCAATTCATCGATCGATTTGAAAATTAAACAATTTTTTCAATTAGTTTTTAGGTCTGGAAATGAATTATACTCTTAGAGGCCATTACGGAAAGAAATTTACCTGACCAAGAGTTATCAATTATTCGATTGGCCTATTAAAGCATTAGTGATCGATGTTCAACTTAAATTTCCTGGCTAGTATGCGTGTGGACTGTCTCATTGCTAGATATATAGTCCGTCTCATCATCGCAATGTTGCTGTTAATAATACTGATTCTAATGGAAATAGTAATTCATCTTCAATATGTACTTGTCATCAACCAAGTCCTTATCATCCTGATGAAAACAGGCATTACAACAGGCTTTAATTGATACCTTTCATGTGTTTATTGATAGGTCTATGATTGTTAATCATTGGGCATCAGGATTAGATCCGAACTATTCGACTTTATCAACAGCAACACGAAATAAAATGATACATTATACAATTTACGACTGTTTTGCGACGACATATTTAATTCGTCCTGTTTTACAAAATATTGGTCATTTCAACAGATAACAAATACTAACATTGATGATTTATCTCAGGCATTACCATCATCATCTCAAACGAGTAACAACACATTGAAAACAACTATTAATCAACAATTGGTTACAAGTATTATAGATGATGATATTGAATTTATTTCTGAGGATAAGTATAAGAGCATACCAGATATTCAATGTATTACCAATATTATCAACAACGATCCTTTATATGAAACAATTTCCGATGATAATCATGAAACAAATATGATACTACAAATTGATAACAATGATTTACGTGTCAACAACCACGATATGGTTGATGATGACCAAGATCATGAATCACATTTACCAATGAAACGACGATCATGCCATCAAAGACGAATAATTGAAGCTCGCAGGACGACGAAATCGAAAACGAAACAATGTTTTTCGATCAAGACATTATCATTATTTTATGACTCGTAGAATGTATCATCAATTTACTACGAAACCAATTAAACATATTCTTCATCAATATAATATTCATTATACTCATGTTAAATTAGGAGCTGAATTATTAGTCATTGACGTCAAAAATGATATAATCAAATAAGAAAATGAACGGCAATTACCTAATGATATATTCGATCGATATCATTATTATTTATATCGTCGTCATTCTCAACATTCAACATGAACATACCAAGTGATCAAGGTACAAATGATAACACCAATAGTAAATATATATATTTTTTTATTGTTCTATTTTTTTGCGTTGTCAGACTCTTCTTTTTACGTTTTTTCTTTTGTTTATGTTTTACATTTTCCTCTATGATGTTATTCGAACGTTTTCCTTTTTTTTCTCTCGGTATATTTGTATTTATGTCAGATGATTTTTTCTTTTTCCTTCTTCTTTCTTTCAGTTGTGGCTTCATAAATAACAAACTTTTTTTTTCTGGTCCGAGAAGGATGTTGTGACCTGACACCTACACGATTATCGTTATGTTCATCTTCTCTTTATACTTCTGTCGGGTCACTTTTCTTTTCTTCTTCTCTTTCTTCTCTTTGATCGTATATATGCATATGATTAGGAGGTCACAGTTGTTGATTTGAAATAAAAAAGATTATGTTCTACTAAATAAGAACTTACATTTTGCCGTTATTAAAAGTAGAATATAAGATAATGCAATCTTTGCACGTGTTCTCTTTCACACCGGCAAACACATCTCTATTTTATCTTAGATATATCAAAAGAATCATTTTTAAGAACAACAAGCAAGTTGAGAGTAGAAATTCATTTTTTGAAATGCCGTTTCGAGACCATTGGCGTGATGTCAAAACCCTACATAACGACGGAATTCCAATCGATACGACAAGCAATGAAACAGCAAAACTGTTTGATGCAACAGTGACGCAATATGTTGGTTGGTGAGTTGGTCACGAGGATTGTCTTTGTATGTTCGACTATATTTTTTCTTTCGTCAGGTACAATGACAAGCAATTAGGTGGTATCAAAGCCAGTCTATCTCGTCTTCTCGACTCCGATCCAAATTGTGCCAGCAGTCGTATTCTAGCCGCTGCTATTGGAATGTTCTCAACGTCTCATCCATCTGTATTAGTTCATGCACAAGTTGTTGAAACACTCGGTGATACAGTAATTTCATCCGATCGCTACATCAATCTTCATACACAAGCTCTCATTGATTGGTCACTCGGGTATCGATCTCGTGCTACTAACACATGGGAAACTATCCTTCTCAGTTATCCTTTTGATATCATGACTTTGAAATTTGCACTCGACACCTATGTTCATCTTGGCAACCAAAATATGCTTCGAGATTCGGTTGCACGAGTACTGCCCATTTGGGAATCATCATCGCCACATCGTCCACTCAAATCATATTTGTATGGAATGTATGCATTTGGTTTAGGCGAAACAAATATGGCACTACGAGCAGAAAAACAAGCTCGACTTGGACTGGAACTCAATGAACATGATGCATGGGCCACACATGCGCTGGCACATGCTATGGAGTACATGGGTCAAACATCGGAAGGAATCGACTTTTTGGAGAAAACTGATAACCATTGGCGTCGATGCGATATAATCGCACCACATATCGATTGGCATTGGGCACTATATGAATTGGAACAAGACAATTGGGAGAAAGCAGAGGACATTCTTCAGCGTTGCTTTTTGAACAACAATGGGACAGAATTGAGCCGATTAAAATATACTGATGCTGCTTCGTTAATCTATCGTCTCAAACTGGCTGGACATCCATGTTCATCACAATCGAATTCTAAATTGAAACAGTTTCTCGATGTTCATTTGCGTGATCATCAAATACTTTTCCATGATTTCCATCACTACTTCGTCTTGGATAATATCGCTGATACCGAGATGAAGAAAGACTTTCTTCGATCACTCAAAGAAACAGTCGAATCGTCCGATACGAATACTGGAAAATTCTATCGTGAAATTGGTTCGCGTATCTTTGCTGCACTTGAGCATTTTGACGAAGGAGACTATGCTCAAGTAGTGGAACTTCTGTATCCCATTCGATACCAAACCGCTGTTGTTGGCGGATCAAATGCACAACGAGATATTTTCACTTTGTTACTAATTCATTCGGCGGTGTATTCAAATAATAATCAACATCAACAATTAGCCAAACGGTTGATTAATGAACGGTGTGAAATGCGCGGGTCAACGAAATCCAGAATGATGGAAAATTATGCAAATACAATACTGACGAACTGATTTTTTTTTAAAGCTTTAGTGGTCTTAATAAAAGATTCATCGTGAATGGAGAGAAAGTTTATTGAACGAAAGAGATCAGTTGTCTAATTTGTTGAATGTTACTAGATTTGCAATGCATACCATTCTTTTGTGGTCATCTACTTGGATTGCCATACAATATGAAGAATGTAGTTTAGAGAATAGGACATGTTTCATACTGTACGTTGTGTCATCATTTGATCATAGGCATCCTTTTTGCACTGAAATTTGGGACAAAACTTACCAGTCTTCAAATACAAGAACAAAGTGAACAGATATTGTCAACAAATCTTGAAGCTATTTACATGCCAAGCATAAATGTCTATTACTTCGACGTGATTGAATGACACATTTTTTGTGAGAACTGGATAATATTCTCCAAAAGAGGAAAATTGTGCCACTTGCAGTAGAAATGCTTCACCTTCTCCACCTCCACTTCCAAAAAAAATCAACGAAAAATGCTTCCTTAAAACAACAGAAACCGTCATTTTAATCCATTTACGTCAGCACAAATGCATTATTCATATAAAGAGAAATCCTTCAACAATTTCTATCCTTACAATGAGAAGTCTAAAAGACTTAAGCAGATATCGATTATTTCCTTTTTCACACCGAAGAGATCTTCAACTAGAAATGAATTTTATTTAGGAGAAATGTATTATTTTCAAAAAGAAATGTTTCTAAAAAATCAATTCCTGCTTGAATTGAACTGTATGTGCAAGAAGAATGAATAATAGATATATATGTATATTTTTTCTTTCTGTTTATTCTCGTTGAAGCATTTCTCTGTAAAGCTCCCTCAAAAATCGATCTCAGCCCAGGAATGTTCAATTGGCATGAAATTTTTAAGATGTTGGGGCTTATGTGGAGAGGCTATGGGAAAATTTTCAATCTGAAATCATGATGTTTGTGGAAAATATTGACCAAATAAGGATCAAAAATAGCACATTTGGCAAACCAAAGTTCTCTATCCAGATTCATTATAGAGATTTAAATTTTTTTTTGTTTGAAAGAGCATGCCAGGATGCAATGCAGCACAGAGCCCTTTTTTAAAATACTTGCCTTTTAAGAGAAAAAAAGAGATCGAAAGTTCAATGACTCAAAAACCCTTAAAAAATAGGTGTCGCGTTATATAAGTCTCTGTATATATAATAAAAGAAGGTTTAATTTAAAAAAAGCGCTCTGCACTGTACTGCATCTAGACGCACTCTTTCAAACAAACAATAAATAATAAATATATTGAATGAGTATCGACAGATAAATTTGATTACCGCGCTCAAGAAATTATAAGCTGAGAAAAAATGAAAAAGATTTTTTGTTGTTTTTCTGAAAACAGCTTATTTTTCGAATAGAAGTCGACAGAAATCTTCAAAAACTTTTGAAAAATACGAGGTGCCGAGGAAAAATTTTTGCCATTTATGAACGATCAAATGACGAGCTATCTTCCTATGCATTTATCTTAATTTCGACTATTTTGGCGAAAAGTGACTTTTTTGAGGGGGACCTTAGTAATTGATGTCTACTACAGACACATACACTTGTGGAGAAAAAATTTCATCACTTCTTCTCCATTATCTTTCTTAACATGAAGATAAACAATAGTATCCCTGTTACAAATTGATCATCACAGATAAATGATATGGATTACCCCTTTTTTCTCTTCAATCGATATATCATTTGTCGATTATTATCATTTGATTTTCAACCTTCGATTGTGTTTTCATCTCGTCGTGCATGTAATTAATTCGATCATATATATAAATGCAATCGAAATACTAAAATTGTATTGAACATGAAATCATCATCATTTGTTATTGTTTGTTTATTTATTTTTGTTTTGTTCGCACACTATGTACGGACACGTATATCCAAACATGCGATTAACTGGAATGAAAACAATTGGGCAATGGGTTGTAATTTTGTTAGCACTGATATCAAATTATACCACTTTAATCAAAAGATTCCTCTATTTGTTTAAGATAGGATAATACTTGTTATTACCGATACTTGAGGGTGTGGGTGTGAGTTTTTAAGTTCTGGATCATTCTTGACCCAAACCAACACCCATGCTGACTCACACCCACACCCACACTCTAGTTTATATGTCCTTTATAGCCAACTATGGTATAAACAGCCACGTTCTGTATTATTTTATTTAATTCAAAAGTATTCATTTATTTCATAAAAAAGAAATTCTTATCATCATTGTGAATTTAATTTGTTACAATTAATTAATTCTATCAAAGATTAACATGTTTATTACTTTTTATTAAAAGCAAATTATTCTGCTAGTCGTGTATTAAATTGTCCTCGTCAATATAATTTTGTTCAATTCTAACAAATTTAATTGATTATTTTATTACAAAAAAAATTATCGTCATCATTGTTTGCTAACTTTGTTCTTATTTAATCATTTTCTTTTTATTAATAACAAAATCTTTGATTTATGATATTTATAAAATGTCCGACGAATTAAAAACAAGAAGTTATTTTTTTAACAAGTAATATTAAATTGTCTTTATTTGAAAATAAAGCAGATGAATCGATGAAACTAAGGGGTATAAACTATTGAAAAAAAGAAGAAAATCTATATATATTACAACTTTGACAAAGATATAGGTCAAAATTATTTTTAATTCATTTATGAACTATTACTTTACTAAACTGAACATCGTAATGCTGAATACATCATCAAAAAAAAGTTTTATTAATAAATATTTATTTATTAAATATTCCATTTCTCTTGATCAGTAACTGTTGACGATGTTGTTGTTTGAGCCTGTGAATTTATTGATGAAGTAGTTGTTATTGTTGAAGATATTTCTGTTGTTTTTTCAACGTTTTTAGATCTGCTTTTTGTAGGAGGAGATGATACAAGTGTAACTTTCATTTCGTGAAATGTTGAGTTCAATTGTTCAATGAATATTTATTTTGTATTCATGTTAGGAAAGAAATGAAGGATATTTTATTTTAATGCATACATACCCTAGAGAATGTACTGAGTTAAGGGTACCCGAAAAAGTACCCTGTTACCAGTATATCACAGGAACTTTTGGGTACCAAAGTACTTGGAAGTACTTTCAGGTACCTAAGTGGTACTTTAACAAGTACCCTGCTACAAAATGTGTAGTAACTGGGTACTTGAAGGTACTGATCAGATACTCAATTGGGTACTATTGTATAGTATTTCTAGGTACCCTGTTACAAAAATTTCAGTAAGTTCAGGATCGAACCTGACCTTTAACTTTTTTAATTTTTGTTTCTCTCAAAGCAATTTACTACATTTTTTTTTTCGATTTTATTCAATTTAATTTTTTCAATTCCGAAAACTTAGCAGGGGCAATCCCGGGATCTGACCCGACTTGAGTTGGTCAGGTATCCATCAGACTACTTCGGAGTAGTCCTCTCTTAATCTACGATCAAGATCGGCATGTTCTCGACTAAGAAATAGTCAAGAAATAATCTAGAAAAAATTAGTATGAAAATAGATTAATTTCTTATGTCTTACTCAGTTGTTTATATGGAGCCGTGCGTGAAAAAGAAAATAGTGAATGAATAGTCGCTACACTGAACGCGACAAATATAGGGTATCCTGCTAGGCCTTTCTCAGTACATGGGTACCCTGAACTCGGTACTTTCTCTAGGGATACGCTCATCAATTAACTATTGATTAGCTTAGTTTTATGGATTATAATCGTCTCATTGAAACTATGTTTAATTATATATTTTATTTTTATTGGTTTAATTGACTTGACCTTTTTATTATTAACATTCACTTTGTACTTCAAGATATTAGAAAAAATATATACATTCACTGATGAAAATTTTTCAAGTGCCTTGGTTTTATAAACTAAAGTATCAATATCCTACTACGATTCGACAATTCCGAAAATTAAGGGAACTCGATTGTTGTCGAATAAGCCGAGTTAGTTCGGATGATACTGGGATTCCGAGAATCGGATGGAACTGATTCCTCAATGTGCAAAATCGCGGAATAGGATGACTGCTCGACCAGCAGGTTTGTACTCTTGGCAGACAAAGACATTTCAGTATTTTTAATCAATATAGCTGAGTATTAAAAAAAAACACTAAGTTTACAATAGAACGTTGAACTTGTTAACCAATCAATATAAAATCATATTTTTATTGTGTAACAAAGAACAGTTCGAGAAATTTTTTCATTGAAAAGGAATATATTTTATGTGGTTAGAAAAAGAGTTGTTTTTTGGATTTTTTTATTTTGTAAAATATTATAAACTTGGTAAGATGTGTCCAAGAGAAATGTTGGATAGTAAAAAGGTTTTTTTGGATACAATCTACTGAGGTATGTTCATTCTTGTTGTTGATGTAGAAAACGGTATTAGTCGATTTTTGAATAATTTTAATTTTGAAATAAAATCTTTAATATGTTTTCTGAATGTTTTAGATGCAAATAAATAAACCCAAAAAGAAATTCCATTTGTAAAAAATGTAAATAAAATAAAAGCAAGGAAAATAACAGATTCATATACTGATCTTAGATATGTTTTAGTAGAATATTTTGTAGCTAATGAATAAATAGTACAGATACTTGCTGGTATTCCACTAATAAGTATAACACTCATTTGAATAAGCATCATACGAGTCATTGCACTTTCTAATTTACGACGACGTCTTAAAAATTGTTTTAAATTATACCAAGTTAAACAAAATAATATTAATATTAAAATAATTGGTAAAAAATAATAACCAATTATAACCCAATAACTAGCATAAACGCTAATTATAGGAATAGAAATTGTACAAGTAAATGTTGTTGGTGATGTTTGAATATGATTAGAGAATATCGATAGTGGCAAAAAAATTATAAGCCAAATAATTGCTGTAAATAAAATCATTAATTGAGCTCGAATACGTGTTATTAATCGTTGCCATTTTATTCTTGGTAAAGTTAAAAGAAATTGATCAAAAGCAGAAAAACAAATACACATAAAACTAAAACAACCAGCAGAATAATATAACCAAGTACTTATTTTACACTAAAATAACCATCGATTTAATGGATTAAATTCACTTAACACTGATATTATAGGTGAAAATAAACCAATATTTATATATAACAAACTACCTATTGATAAACCAATGACAAATAATCCATTTGGATGTTTATTCAAAGATCGAATACATAGAAAAACAAAACAATTACATATATTACCAATTGTACTAAGAATAATTATAAATAAACCAAAAGTTTTATATAAAAGAGTTCCAATATTTAATAAATAAACAATAGTATTGGCATCCGAAGACATTTTACTTTATTTTAAAATAAACGTTGCATTTCAATTGTAGACAATCATTAATGATCTATTAGAGTTTATATAGAAATTTCTATGCATGATTAATAAGACACGTCAAAATATATGAAAATCTCAGTCACAATCAACATAAATATAAGTTAATTGTGAGATTATATTCTTACTTTTATCTTTATTCAATGTCATGACCATTAAGTATGAGTATTGACATTTAATTAAACTAAAGGTTATTTTATTTATTATTAATTAAATAAATACATTTCATATCTACAATAATTAGAAAAAATGAATCGTTTTCATAGTAAGTAGCTCAAATCAATAACGGATCAACGGAAGCGGATTTAGGATTTTAGAGAGGAGGTGGCGATTTCTAAATTATATCACCCGAGGTAGTATGAATTTTTATGGAAATAGATAAAGTAGTGTTCTCATTTTCTTACAATTCTTTATTTCCATTTGATATAGTAAATCTATCGATTCATGAGAAAAAACAATATTTTTTTTGAGACAAATTTTAGCAGTAAAATCTAAAAAAACAATCGACGATTAGATTTTCAAATTCATCAATTCCAGCATCAATATTTGCACCTAAATCTCGATAAATACTCATCATAGCTAATTCATTAAGTATTGTTTCCAACATGGTCGAACGTAAATAAGTGTTCAGTAATTTGAGGACAGAGAATGTTTATTCTGTAGTTACTGTTGTTATTGGTAGAGTTGTACAGATTTTCAATAAAACTTTCATGTTTGGGTAAAACGCTTCAGGACAAGCAGCATAGGTATCAATTATTGTATCTGGTAAAAATATTTGTTCTTTACGTTTCATTTGGATTGTAGTTATCTTGCTAGTTGAAGAAGGTTATAATGTAGTGGAACTAATTTCAATTTCTGGAGCTAAATCATCAGAATTTTTATCAACAATATATTGTGGAAACTATTATATATTTTTGTCATGTTGTAATTGTGTTATCCTTTTATCGTTTCTCTGTTCTCTTTAATTGTAAATTTGTGCGTACATAGTTAATTGTGTCTTCCTACAGTCATTTTCGGATGATGACAATTGATAATTATCGAGAGTTTGAAATAAAAATAATAATTTTCGTTGAAAATTTAAAATGTTTTCTCTTGCAGTACTTTACTCAATAATAAATCATATTTTTTCAAAGACATCCAAATGTTATATTAAAGAAGACAGTCCTAAAAATTTTATTTCTGTGGCATATGCTTTACGTATTTCGATCAACATGTATTGGAGAGATTAGATCTTTCTAAAAAAAGTATTCAAAATCACAGATCAAACAATTAGACAATTCTTTGGGTGAGTGTGGGTGTGGATATGAAGAGTAGATCCACACCCACACCCTATCTACACATTCACCCCCATGCCCTAATATTTTTCTCTTTTTCTTATGAAACTGTTTACAGTGTATTATTGTTATTGATACTTTCTCAAATACAACGTTTAAAATTGTCGTCATTTGAATATGAGAGAATAATATTTATCGTTATTTGATTTTGAATTAGATAAAAAAGATCAATATCATTATAAAATCATATAGAATGAGAACAAAAATAGATGGAAAATAAGTTTTTATTGTAACTTATAAAATGTAAAAGCACCCGAAAAATAAATGCTCTTCATTGAGAGAAAAAAAATATGACAATGAAATATTTAAGAACTGTTCTGATCTTCTGTTTAATTAGTTATGTTAGCTCATATGTATCCGTTACAAGATTTTATTGATACAACATTATCCAATATAAATAATAGAAAAGAAGTTATTGAAAATAATCCAGCATTAGTCCATCATATTTATCAATATTTTCAAGTAGTCTATCCTCGTCAACCACTTAATTAACGACTAGCGCAATCACGTGATGACACAGTAGTTCCATCAGAATATGATTGGACTAATCAAACACATGTTCCAGGCGCAGTTACGCCTGTTAAAGATCAACGTCATTGTGGTTCCTGTTATGCTTTTGGTGTGGTTGGAGCTTTAGAAAAAACATATGCAGAAATTTATAAAGAATCTGGTCCATTAAGTCCTCAAGAATTAATTGATTGCTCAGGTCAAGGTGGTTGTGATGGAGGAGATTTTGTTCCATCATTTCATTATATTAAAAAAAATCATTATAGACTTAATTTAGAAAAAGATTATCCATCAACACCCGATGCAACACAACAAAAATGTCAAAAACGAGATGGAGTACGTCTTTCATCTAATTCAAGTCGTACACTTAAATATGAACAAATACCAGATGGAGATGAAGAATATATGAAAAAAATTGTTTATGAACGAGGTCCAGTTTATATTTCTTTTAATTGTGGAGAACGCAAAGGTAATGATACTATTCTACGAGAAGTATCAAATAAATTTGATCATTATGCATCTGGTATTTTTGATGTACCTGGATGTCCAGCATATAGAAACCTAAATCACGCACCTGTTGTCGTTGGTTACGGAACTGAAAATGGAATTGATTATTGGAAAGTTAAAAATTCATGGGGAGCCGATTGGGGTGATCATGGTTATCTCAAAGTTAAACGAAATGAGAACATGTGTGAAATTGCTACTTCGACTTATTCTGCTGGATTATCTTAAAATTTGTTTCTAATCAATAAATTTGAATCGATTAGAGAAAAATTTTATTGAATAAGAGTTTTTTTTTCTTACTCATACGATAATCTTCATATGTGTCGACGACAGATTTATATACAGAAATATTAAATCAAACTAATACCCATTTCAAAAAGAAGGCGGGTGGTTGTCTTTTTGAATAACTTTTGATAGAACTAATAGGTTTTTCAAAGAGTTAAAGCGACGTTTTTGTAAACTAACGTATTCTATAAGGCAACTAAAGTGCTTTTTCATTAATTTCGTGTGCATTTGAACCGCTAACAGAAGATCTACAAACTATAAGCAGGCGGAGATTTTTAGATCTATTCATTCAGAAGTTATAAATGTCCTTGTAGAAATTCTTAGTCGATTTTTCTATTGATTTCTGTGAAAAAAAAATCACTTTTTGCGTCTTTCTCATAAAACAGGAACTCAGGTCTCGACATTTTTTTGTAGAAAATGGTTTAAGAAAAGTTTCGAAAACAGCCTGAAGAAATCTATTTTATATGATTGGATGTGTTTCCATCTCCTCTTTTCAATGGTGAAAATCACAGCTCTCTATTTTGCTCCTATCATTTGACGATCGAGATGATTGCATTGATTATATAACAATAAATAGTCATGATAATGATGTATGCATTATCGAACAAGTGTTATTGGTTACTTTCAAAGAAGCTGCTTGTACATTTGTTCCACCCATTTATTAACTACAAGAACTTTCATCGATTAATATTTTGGATGATGTAACAGAAGTCGAAAGTGATCTAACACAAGACAACTAAGTTTATTTTAGTTGCATTAGAGATTGAACTGCATGAAAATGAACATTCGAAGACTGAATAACAGACAATTTACCTCATTGAAAAGTCATATGAAGTCTGTCAGATAGACTGGCAAAAATCACCATACTGTTTTGTGTTTTCATAGGAACCATATTCAATCAAGAGTGTTCACAATATGGCAAAAAATTCGTGGCGAATATCGTGATCAAAATTTCTGATATAAACAAATGGTGAATGATATTTCTCAATATGGTCAATATCATTTACCTTTGACTGCTTATTCGCTATCGATCTATAAAGAAACATCAATACATAGCCTCGATCATCATTCAGCTACATTCATAAGATCTTATCTTCTAATTCATGCACTTACAAAGATGCATTCATTAAAAGTCCATATGAAGATGTTAGAAGAATGTCGCCAATGCTACGCCAATAATCTAGCTGAACTTCGAAAAATTGACAAATTTGAAAGGGACTATGTTCCATCTATGGCTCTCTGGTGGTACACAGGTAGCAATTTTATATATCGCTTATTTCACAAAGCATTTCGACTAAAAAATATTGATCAAATTTTGTAAATTTCGATATACTATCGCGAACCTTGTTGAACAACTGAGAATACTTCAGGAAGAGTGAGTTTGGGGAGAACACTGATTCAACATATATCCCAAGAAGAAAAAAATCTTATTTAGGATTCTGAAGATTGCTTGAGATTTCTATAGTAGATCTGAGATCAAAGCAAAATCTCTGATGATCGCCGAAAGTTCTCGAAAATCACTAAAAGTCTCTGTGCATGACAGTTTCATATCATATTAGTTGAATTGTAATTGATAATAGGAGTGCACCAATTCCAATTCTAAGCTTGAAATTGACCAGAATTGATTGGAATTGGTCGGAATTGAAATCGGTCTTTTGTAGAATTATATGTATATACGAATATTTTTTTGTATATACTTTATAGCCCCTGATTTGTTTTATCTGAATCTCGAATCAAAATGTCAGACAAACATATTTTTGATAGCAGAAGATGAAAAACAATTCGACTGAATGCCCAAAATAATTCAGCCATTAATAGACACTGATCAACGATGATCCGTCGAGACACAAATTGTTGATGCAAGAGTAATCGTATTCACATTTTTTGTTCGACGCTTTTAATTTGAAAATCGTACAAAAAATTTTGTCCGCCACTGTACCACAAATTAAAATCCTGGGCACACTAGAGAAGATCCATTCCACCGCTCTGCTTTTGTTTGATAAAGATAAAATTAAACATCTATTCATGTTCAAGTAGAAAAGTTTGACGGTCCAACTTGTCCTATAGTATTTATTGGTGATTTAATCCCTATTGTAATCGTTTTTTTATCGTGGAAATAAATAAAAAAGAGCTAGTGTGCTGTTTCATGAATCGTATTTGAACTCAGACATAATCTATAGTATGATTAAAAGACAGAAACTCTAGATCATGAAATTTCTGATACGTAGGGTGTGGCTGGATCTGGGTGTACGTTCATATACCACTTCTTTACCCACACCCACACCCCAACTATTTCACTACTTAAAATAGCTTTAGCATTTAGTTATGGAGAATGTCCAAATACAATGAAGTGTATAAGCCGCGAACGTTGGAGTTTAGTAAGACGACAGCATGAATAACAGAACCTGTGACATCACATTTATCATAGGCTATAGACAAATGTGGGCTTACTTGCTGTCATCTGTTTCATTTCTCTTTTCTAAATTATGAATAAGCAGCCATGACCAGTTTCGATCTTGCTTAAGGGTCTAATCAAATAGCTTTATTCAAATCCATTATTATTAATAGCGATGAAACTGCAATCAACTCCCAGAATAGACGACATACAGTATTAAAATGATATCATCTGATGAGATTCCTAAGCAAGGTCAAAATTGGTCATGACCGCTTATTCTGAATGTCATTCGATGACAAGATATAGATAAATACAATACTGCTGACAACAGAAATGAACAGTATGACTTTCTCAGTAGTCAGAAATTTGCTTTTTTGTTTAAAGAAATTATCGAATACTTGCTCTCTCTATGATGGACTTATTGACTGTCCCGATAACCGTAGAATGGTGTTTACTCATTTTACAATCATTACAATAGTTCTTAATACCTGCTGTCGTCATCGAGTAATTTATTTCCTGAAAAGACTAGACAAAACAACCGTCTTTAAGTTCTTCCTCCCGTCAAAAAAAGTTGATATTCGCCAAATAATTGGAAATTAAGATAAATGTATAGGAAGATAGAGCAAGTCTGTTCTTTCACAAAAAATAAAATTTCCAAATCCATATTCCATTTTGGAGCAGAAATTTTAATGATTTCTACCAACTACTTCTTCAAAAATAGGCTTTTTTCGAAAAAACGCAAAATATCTTTCTTTTTTTCTCAAAATTTAATGTCGCTACGGTCTGGTCTAAAGTCAAATATTCTTTTTTTTGTTTGAAAGAATATGTCAAGATGCAGGTGCTCTGGGAGTCCGTTTTTATAATAATGCTTTGCTATTATTATAATCAAAAACACTCTTATAATTAGAGTGCCATGTTTTTGATAAATTTTCGAAAGATTGAACTTGTCATCCCTTTTCTCCACTTGAAAAGTAAGAATGAAGAAAAAAAGAGCTTCCAGAGTACCTGCATCTTGATATACTCTTTTCAACAAAAAAAAAAAATATATGGGACGAGTGTCTGTAGAAAATTTTTGCAAATGAAATAAGGTATTTTTTTGACATTTGTTTAGTGAATAACTTCACCATACTGCATAGTATAGTGTTGAAATTTAACCATAGTCGTCCCATCCCAACCTCAGCATATCCTTTAAATTTCAGATGATTTCTGCTTATCTGGTCTGAGATCGATTTTTGAGGAGAGGGAGATCTTAATATCACAGATAAAACTTCTAGGATTTAACGGCTCGATCATCAAATCTAATCAGAAATTCTATGATCAATTTAATTTTGTTTCTACTATCCATAGATAATAACTGTATTGAATCTCTATAGTCAATATAATGGTTCAAAAGAAGCACGTCATATTGCTAATACTCTCCATCGTAAGCAAGTAAGGTTTTCCTTTTAATCTTTACATCTTTTTACTCAACCACTATTTCGAACAAATACTCATCACACTGGAACTCCAATACAATCAAAACAATTCACGAGGAACAGAATATATTGCTAATGCTCTACAATATAACAAAGTAGTGTCGTCTTCGTCTTTTCTTCTCATTCTCTTATTTGTATTCTTTTATCGAATGAGATAATTTTTTCATTGGTAATAAAAAAAGTTATTCATAGTTCATACTCATAAAAAGTAATGTTTCCAAGTTCTCTTTTATTTGTAATTAACGACTGATATACTCGAAGAAAGATAACTAATGGAATTTGAATCGTTTTTTTCGACTCTCATTTATCGTAGCTGATTTTCTTTTCAAATTGTTCCAATAGATTTCTTTGAATGTCGCTGAATCAAGCCAAATGGTAAACCAAGGTCCATCGCGTCGAAATATAAATGGAGTTCTGAATCGCAATCGATACGTCCACATTTCTTCACCAAACTCATGACATAAAATGAAGTTTTGATCAATCATGTTGAAAGTAAGACTGCGAAGATATGACAAATATGTGCTTATCATTGGAAGGTGATCTAATTTCAGCTGATCAATTACCATGTGTTCGATAAAAGGAAAGAGCCGACGGATAATTTGAATCATATCTTCGTTAAAAACTCTTTTAGTGCATGATAAATTGATAGATTTAAGTTGATTGTTTGTTTCAATTTGCGACTCATCATACAGAATCAATTGAGTATCATTCAATTTGAATGATTTAATATTTTTGATCAGATTTAACAATGAAACAGTTGTCATTGGATTATATGCACATTGTGAAATGTCGAGTTCTTCAATTCTCAAATAATTCACATGCTTACTTATCCATTTAACAAGATTTTTCTCTAGATAACCAATAACAAGACATCGAACATTGTTAAAGAAATATGAAGATGATAGAAGAGAAGAGTTTCCATAGAAATGTAACCTTGTAATAGCATTTGTTGGAGAGATACTATTGTTTGTTGGACGTACTAATGCCATTCGAAATTCTGTGTTTCGTTCGTTCGATTTCCAGCTCTGCTCCATGTTCAAAATCCATCTTTTTTGATCAAAAACATGACATTTCGTATCCGTGTCATCCAGTAGCTGTTCATCATCCACAATCAACACATGAAAGTTGATCTTTTTAATCCAGAATAATGTTTGAAATGAGACGACTACTTCTTTAAGATAACGCTTTTCTAGACGAGATGGACTCATTTTTAAACAAAAATGTGTCAAATATGGTAATGCACTTGTAATGAATTGTTCCCAAGCACTGGCATTGAGCAGAGCATCATGAGCAGTTATTTCTAAATGGTATAGATTAGATGCAGTTTGTAGAAATTGTGCAACCATATCAAACGTTAAGGAAACGTTTTTATCAAAGTGTAAAATCAACGTTCGAAGATAAGGCATTAGTGCATAATCCCATTTGATTGGTATTTTTACCTGAAAAAAATATGGCACTTCCTCGACCAATCGAATATTAAGATATTGGAGTTTAGTAGCACATTGAATAATCGATTGTAGAATACTCCATGTGCAAAACATACCTTTAATATTTAGATATTCAATATTGGACGAAGCTGGCTCGAAAAATGGCCACTGTATAATATCCTTCTCAATAGCTATAGAGAATCGTTTTAACATTGGTAAATAAAATAATCTTTTAACCATATTGCTCCAGTCGTATACTGATGATATGTTCGCTATTTCAATTGACAAAGTATTCAGATTTTTCAGATTCCTCAACGAATAGAGAGCATACTCTACCTGTGTCGAATCAATTGTCGCAGTATCAAAATGAAAATATAACGTCCGAAGATTAATGAATGGTTTGAACGATGGAAAGAAAGATAGAAAAGAATGAATTTGACCTGGTGCATTCCATTCTGATAAAGCTAGTTCTCTGATTTTGTCGATCAATGATGGAAATAGACTTATGCATAGGCGAAAATCATCTTTTCGACAACCCATAAAATCGAATCGAAATCGTTGACATCGAGCAATCAGACTATCAATACGACTATTGAGTTGTTCGGTAAATCCCATGAATATATCGACTCCATTAATATATTTTTCGAACAAATCAAGCAATATTTCGTTGGGTAATGATTCTAATTTTAACAATGACATATTTACTGAGATTGTTTCAAAATGACTGTATGTTATGAAATATGTGTTTCGATTTTTTTATTCTTTTTTTCTCTGATGAATCATGCTGACTAACGAAATTTAATGTGTTGCGCAAGATGTGTAGGCGTCATTATCGTTCTTTCACTCATAGAAACTGTACACATTAATGTGAATTTGTCCTTATCTTTTTAATGATTCATATGACTCATGATAGATGCAAGTATAGGCTTCTTCAGAGAATGAAAAATAACACCAATAACTATACAATTTAGATTCATTCTAGATTAATCTATACAAAAATATTCATAAGCTGGATGAATATATTTAAATATTTGATTACGTATCTTTGAATATAACATATCCCTTCAGTGCTGAAGGAGAATCTTGTGTTCTTGATTTCTATGACAAGCAAACTGAGAAAAGAAAAGTGTCTATAGAATTAAAAACTTTTATTTCAATCTCATATAAAATTTTAGATATGGCTATCACAATTTACAAAATTAATCTAGAATTTATTGTCCGAATTAATTTTCTGCCAACGGATAGATTTCAAAAGAGAAAGAATATGACTAGGCTATTAAAGATCATGACGAACATATCAATAGATTTAAAAAACTATTGTATGTTGATTGGAATCATGAGAAGATGAGTTCAATTTTTTGGTTATATAATTCAATATTCGTTATCAGTTATATTTCGTAACCTCACTGTAATAATGAGATAAGAATTTTACGCAATTACTGTAGTGATTCATAGATGGACATGACTAATAAACAGATGTTTTTTTTTCACTTTTATAGAAAGAGAAAAATGAAAAACGACTTATGCCAGTCTGCTGACCAGTTCAGAGTAGGCTAGCAAGTGTAGAATGGTGTCTTTATATAGAACCTCAACTAGTTACAACTCTGGATTGAAGATTATTATGTTCATATCAAATACTACTATCCACCTTACCTATAGGCAGCACATAATATATATTTAAATACTTACTAGAATGATGGGAAACTATCTGGCCAAAACCAAATCCAGCTAGAAAAATCAGTGATGTTATTAACAACCCGAGTAAGATATAGCATAACCATGAACGACATTGTTTGTTACGAGATAGAACATATTCAGAAGAACTATTCTGGACAAAGTTATCAACACTATAATCGTCCGATCCCGGAGAGAAAATTGAAGAGTGCTCGAGTTGTCTAACTGGATCGTTCGGTTGATTGCCATCTGATACTAGTTTAAGATACAATGTCTGTCGCGAAAATACATTCTTTTCTTGATCCATTATCCATGATGCGATAGTTGCCCGATTTTCGAAATGATCATCTGTGGATACTTCCAAGTCATGAAGTTCTGATCTTTCTGGAGATGTTGATTCTTTAGGTTTAGGATCAACAAGAGAAATCTTCTCCATTATGTTTTTACTTTATCTAGAATAATTTCGATGCATACAGCAGTATTCTAAAAGTTATTGAAAACGATTAAAATCATTTTTAATTTGGCAATATTCAACGATGAACACAAATGTTGATCTGACTGATGGACTAAAGTCGTATTGTTGATTATATAAAATCAAAATATTTTTATTCTATACTATATAGTTATACATTCGTTTAAACACTTCAAATAAGATTAGTAAAACATTTTCAGATAAATTTTTTTGGAGAAAAGAAGAATGAAAAAAGCAGAACGTAGATGCTACCAAAAAAAACAATATTTAGACGTTTGATAAGAATAGGTAGCTTTAGCCTTCTGTTCCCTAGACTGAAAGGCTAGGGTCTAGGAACCGAAATTCACCTGTGTCTGTCTGTCTGTAACACCTGGTACCAATGACCATTTTCATGGTACAAATGACGGTTGCTCTGGTACCAATGACCATTTATGTGATATAAAATTACCGTTTTCGTGGTACAAATGAGCATTTCTGTGGTACAAGTAACCATAGTTGTGGTACAAATGGCCATATGGGTGGTAGAAATGATCATATTGATAGTACAAACTACCACGATCGTAGTACAATTGACTATATGAATGGTACAAAGTAGCATGGTCGTAGTACAATTGACCATATGAATACTAGAAAGTACCACGGTCGTAGTACAATTTACTATATAAATGGTACAAATGACAAAAGTCGTGATACAAATGACCATTTTCTTTGTACAAAGTACCAAAGTCGTGGTACAAGTGACGGTATCAATGGTACAAAGTACCGCAGTCGTAGTACAAATGACCATTTTCTTGGTAGAAAGTACCACAGTAGTGGTACAAATAACCTTATGAGTGGTACAAGTGACCATAGTCGTGGTACAAATGACGATGCAGGTGGCACAAATGACCACATCGATGGCACAATGTGTGGGTGGGTGTGGGTATGGGTATGGGTGTGGATACTCAATTCACTGACACTTACATCCCACCAATACCCACACCTACACCCACACCCCACACCCACACACTCACACCCACACCCCATCCCACACCCTTGATGAAACTCATCTTGTCGAGGTAACCTAACTGTATTCGACACAGGATCGAATGAACTTTTCTGTTTTCTGAGTGGGTGTGAGTGTGGTTGTGGGAAAAAAAAATCACACCCAGACTCACCGACACACATCCACATTCACACCCGCACCCACACCTACACACCCACGCCTACACCCTCAAGTGTTCATTGCCAATCATTTTAAGAAGTTTCTTCTAACTGTATCAATATACCGTAAGGCAAAACTGATGCACGAACTGTTGTATAGATTTCTACTTCATCATTTGGTATTATTGAACAGATTCTCTGATGGCCGGCTCCTATTGTTTCCGGTTGAACTTTAAATGATCCTGGTTGTTGTCTGCATTGAAGTACAATGTGTGCTTTGTAGATTTTATTTGTCGTTTGCGATCGAAATAGTTGAGGCCGACAATAGCATGGATGTGCTGAGTATGCTATTGTCGGTGATGTATAAATATGATTTTGTCCTTCGATATGCCCAGGACATATCGCAATTTTCTCGCCGTCTAATCGTTTATCACCAGGTATTAAGAATTGTCTATGAACAACAATGGACTGAGCTGCCTCCGGTGTTGTTCCATGGTAGGTGACAATCCAATTACGCCAAATGTGATCAACTTCAGTTCGAACTTTATCTACTTGAAGACCGAATCGACACCATCCTCGTGGAATAACGTAAACGGAACCAGCCGCTTCAACAGTATCACTCCAAGACTCGAGATAACAATCTGAACAGTAGCAATGATTAAAACGTCGATCAAATAAAGATCGATCCCATTCTAAAGATCGAAGATATTCTGCACAAAGGTTTTTATATGGACAGACACGAGGCTGTTTTGAATGACCTGAATGGTCTAAAAAAGCAAACTGATCTTTGCTATTCGTTTTAGATGTCACTGACTTACTGTTTTTAACATGGGTTTTATTATTTGGTGGTGCTGAATCGTTTGCTGGTTTGCGGAATTCCTGTCCACAACTAGGGCAACACTGAATATTGAATGGTGGTGTAGTCGCACCGCATGCGATGCATCTCCGCGGCATTCTATGATTTTACTGCTTTTAAAATAAGTGTGCAGTGACGACGCACAAGTTTGTCGTATTTATGGCGTTTTTTTCATTTTATATCTCCATCATTTCAACAGAACTCTCGTTTTTTTTTCGTTTTTTTATTGTTTCTCTTTCTTTTATTTTATTCTACACATTCTTCGCCCTACTCATTCGGAGAATTCGTTTTTTTTTCAAACTTTTATTTTGCAACAATGCAACCAAAACCAATCCTTTTCAACATTTAGCTATGATTCATTCCGCGGGCTTGAGTTTCTCCTGTCGTTTTTGCTTTTCTTTTTTTTTTTATTGCCATTTCTCAAACAACAGCCTTTAGCAACATAAGTTTAGTTAGAAAATTGTAGGGTGATTACTTTTTAGTCACACTACTTCTCTAAGCATTTCGCTATACTACTCATCGGGTGTCAACATTCTTGTCTGATCATTCTACGTCGATAAAATTTAAGATTCTGTTTACTTTAGATGGGTAGTGGTGCTAGCAAGAAGACCACTGACACGATACTGGCACCGACACCAATAACTGTATCAAAACCAACACCTGTACCTACAGCTGTGCCTAGTATGTCCTATAATTTTCTTCGCATATCTCGTCCGACATAGATCTTTCAGAATATTACTACACCGATCCATGAATCTTTCATAATCATTTTCTATCGATCGGAATCGATGAAAATGTAAAAGCAGCAATACTTCGAAATATCCCTCATAAGAATTGAAGGTTTAGTGACAAATACGAGTTTGAATTTTCAGGCAGTTTTGAATAACCACGTTGTCTCTGATACTGTCAATGTGACATACCGTGAATGTTTAGAATTCTAGTTCTATTGTTATCCTTGCATATTCGCTCTAGCTCTTATGTAATTGTTAGGAGCACTTAAGACACTATTTTTGTATTTGGTTGAATAGAAACCAATTATATTTTACGTAAGTTATTTTTAAATTTTTTTTAATAGAAACTACCGAATGTTTGAAACCAGTATGTGTGACATATTTGAAAAAAATGAAATTAAACATAAAATACTTCAATAGAAAACATAATAAGTGTTACTGTGCATCATGTTATGATTCCACACGGCCAGATGTTTTAACAGCAGCCGGCTCTAAATATACTGTACCAAGAGGATGGGTAGCTTTCAGCATTCAAGTAGACAAGGCATTTGCTGCCAGTAACAAAATATTTGATAATTGGTATACAACCTTCTATGGAACATCCAAAGATAAACTTGAGGATATCATTCGCAATCGTTTTATACCATTTCCTGGTGATAATCTTCTGTCTGGTGGGACATTTGTTCTTAATTTACCAGATCAAAAGCACGTTTATACATCACCTTCGATAAATTATGCA